TCTAGTGGAAGGTGTCCCTGCTGATGGCAGGGGGTTGGAACTAGATGATCTTTAAGGTCCCTTCCAATCCAAACCATTCTATGATTCTATGATAACTTTTTCAGAAGACTAACTCCTTTTGAGACTGTTTAGGATAGTCATTATTTTGGAAACCTGTTCATACAAAACTGTTAACTTTGTGGTTGTAGTGCACTGAATAGAGCTTATAATTGCCAATGTATTTTCTAACAAGAAATACCTAGAAAACATATCAAATTAAGTAAAAAAAAAAAAAAAAAAAGAAAGAAAATTAAGGTAAGCATATAATTTTGTTTTAAATGATCCTTTTCTTATTTTTGTGTATCTCAATGAAGGGTTCTGTAAATTTCCAATCAGTGATGCAATGAAGGGAAAGTCCAAAGCCACAATAGCTATCAGTATAGGGATACCAAGATAGCAACATTCTTTTTCTCTTATCCTCTCTCTGTGAAGGACAGGCACATTCTGGAGGTGACTAAATGGGCCTTGGGGGAAAGAAATGGTCACTTACTACACAAATGCATTTTGACAGAGTTCTAGAGGAGTTAGGTCTTGAAGAGGTAACTTATCTTTTCCCTTCTGCAACTCAAGGGAAAATAAAAGATAAGAATGGGATTCTTACAAGGGAAACCAATTTTGACAGAAGAGAGATCACTGGTGCTCAGTTGAAAGGTACAATAATGAAGACATCCCAGCACTTCAGCAGAGATTCAGATCTATGTTACTTCAAGGAAAAACCAGGCAAAGACCAATCACTCTTTATTTTTAACAGCATTTTAGACTAATGCCCATTTTCTGTTTCATTGACTATTTCAATAGAAATCTGTCAGATAACTACATTTGTTTTGACATTAGTAAAATTGTGTTTGAATTCATTACATGCTATTTATTGCAACAAAGCATACTGGATTGACTAAATACTACTATGTGAAAAGAAACAGAGTTTCAGAATGTAATTTTTAAAACATGAAGCTGCCTGTCTGATATTTGAATTTGCTATGTCAAAAGCTACAAACATTCATCATCACATATCGACACACTGACATTTTCAAAGATTGAAACATGTACAATTTACATACACATTACTGAATACACATTACATATCTAATTTGGTTGTGAAATTGCCATGCCAGTGTTGTCACTGCAGGACTTGCTTATTCAAAGTGCTAGGAAAAGATACAATTATATATTTGTACAACTTTCGCTTGCAAAACACAAGGAATCAGCAATAGTATAATAATCTATCTTATCTTGAACATTAGAACTTAAATCATAAGGAGAAAAAGCATTCAAAAAGCAGCCAGCAGGAAAATAAAAATGAATAACATGAATCAAGAACATATATTCCTTTGTGTCAATTAATATGATAAATAATACAAGCGATTGGTAAACTATGCCATATGACTTCATGGTCGGTATATTCAAGAAAAAGAATCTTAAAGATACACAACGGACAAGCAGTCACGGATCAGTTTCAGCAAGATCTTAACAGCTTACATGGGAAAAGACTGAAGGTTTAGATATTGCTACGTTCAGTAAACAAAACAGAAAGCAATTTGAATGGTTTCTAAATGACCTAACAGATTATATTTTCTCCTCAATATTACTATATTTATATGTATCTTCAAATAAAGGAAATAGTTTTGTCTATTAACTGTTACTGTTAAAGTATGAACATTTTTATAAACAAAGGATGGAAGTTCATTTCCAAAAGAAAAAAGAGCCTAGTGTCATGTGATTTTAAGTTATATTTTAAAGATTATCAATATCCTTGCCTCATTCTAATAATCAGATATTTATGTACAGATTCCATGTCTTGGGAATTCCCCAAAAATAAAAAAAAAATCCACCTTAACTACTATTCTTACCCAGAACAACTAATGTGATTTATTTAGCCTCAATTTTGATCACAATAGGTTTTATGTTTGTTTCGGTTTGGTTGTTTCTTTTCCTAGAAGACAGGAAAGAAAGAGCTGCCCTTACACATGGTGTGGCAATTTTTCTAGCAAATACCAAGTGTGAGAACAGGGAACGAATCTTGCATTGAGTTCAAATGCAAACAGGCTGGAACGAAGTCTGTATCAAAACCATGAGAAGGTGTGCTCCATAGGACCTCCACCTGTGCCTGCCTGTCCCAGGTGAAAGACCCATAAGAGTGTGTTGCAACACCTTCTTTGTACTCCTGGGTTCCCTTACAGAAGAAACAGGTATGCAAAGGCAGGAAAGGAGAGGAGGAGGATTTATGCATACAGCCAGGTCTTGTCCCTGTATTAATTCATAAGATGTTTAATAATGTTTAATACAGAATGCCCATCCAAAAGTATAGAGTCATTCAGTGAAATTAGGGGGGGGGAGGGAAGGAAGCAGCTGTTCTTTCCCTGCAATGCAGGCACTGATAACCTTCTGCACCCTTGCTGAACTGTGCTATTTGTTCAGAGTACTTTCCTGATCACGTACAGTGATAAGCCAGAATGTGAGCATTTCACAAAGAAAAAAAAAAGCATAATTAATTAATAGAGGTTAATGGGGCTATGATCACTTATGGGAAAGTCAGATGAGGTTTCTCCGAGAATGCAGTGGGAAAACAATGGCAGCCATCACTGAAGGTTTCATGTGCATCACAAGTGCTCAACATTCCAAGTATAAGGAAAAACTAGTTACAGACATTTTCCATAACAACAGATTTTTCAGATGGACAGCAGTTATATCTGTGTGACTTCTATTATATAATTTATCTAATGTTTTTTACTAGAAGCATAAAATATTTCATAATTATGTTCTATTATATATTCTAGGTTCTTATAGACTTTATGGATATACATACTTCCTTCTTTTCCTATTCCGTACCACAGTCTGTTAAAGTTGAGTTATTTACTAGTCAGAGAGCAATAAGCTAGCCCAGCTAATGAATGAGCCCTGTGGGGCTTTACATAATAACTGCACCTCCAATAAAATGTTACTCTCTTAATTTAGGTTTAGAAAATGAACTGCTCTGTAGAACTCTATCCACACTAACAGTTTAATAGCACCATGGGTCTACTTATTCATATAAATGTCCACAAAAGCTCAAGTTCAAGTGCATGTATTTTGGAAAAAAAATAAGACAGTTGTACATACAACCTGAAATAACACAGCACTGGTTCAAAAAATAAATTAAAATGGTCAAATGCCTTCAACTGTGAGTCGTATCTTTCTTCTCTTAATGAAATTGTCTTTAGAATTTAATTCAGGACAGTATTTTTTCCACAACCCTTTAAAATACATATTACAGAGACCAATCTTTAGAATAATTTAAAAATTCTGGTAGCACAATACTACTTTCTAAGTTTTAAATGTCTTTTTTATAACTATTTTTCCAGCCAATTCTACCAGATAGTACCTTGTTGGCATCTCCCATTATCCATTTTGGTTAAAAGCTATTTAAAATGTTCAGAAGTCCATCAAGTTTAACAGCTGGGGGATTAAGTCTAATTTCAGCCAAAAGCATAAACAGAAATATTTAAATTCTAAGAAAAAGACAGAAGAAATA